GTAATGCAACGCCTTGTTCACACTGACGCTGGGGCGCTCCAGCGGGGGCGCATCAAACATTATTCCACTCGCTGAGGTGGAGTACCAGCAGCGCTGTAGCCGTGGAGTCAGAGTGCTCTACGTGCCTTGCCAGTGTGGATGGGTAGTGAGCTAGTGCGCCCGGGGCGCCTTTAATGTGCTGTCACTCGCAAGTGTAGCCAAGCCCTGCGAGAAGGCTATGACCCTCCATACTGATACAGCGCTTTAAAGAGACACGGTGAAAGTCTAAAAGTTGCATATGATACAAAACACAAACCCAACCCTTATCTGGGCCCAAGAACACCTTAGCTTATTAAAATGGAAAGATTTTTAAACATCTAATTTGCTTTTCATCATCAATTCTCCCCCTCCTCCCCCTACTTTTCTCCATTGGGAAAAATCAAACTCTTTAAGTCAATTTCACTTTCCAGTTCTGCAACACTTGCTCAGTAATGTTGAGCTGGGGGTTTCCCTACACAGGGGACTAATTAAATTCATTCCAGACCCTTGTTTAGGATTTTCAATTCAGACTAAGGGCCTTAGGTAATTTTTTCCCAAATCCTTAAAGGTATTTTAGAGGCTAACTCTCATTGAATTAACTTAAATACCTTTTAGGATCTGAGGTTTAAATCGTATTAGATTTCGACGGGATTTGCGGACCTAACTTTTCTTAGGCTACTCAGAAAATGGCAACTTTTATTCAGTCAGTGGGATTGTCAAAAGCACCTAAGTGGTTTAGGAGCTTTGAAAGTCAATGGGCAGGAAAGAGTTGTTAAAAAAACCCCACACCCCTAACCAACACTTATACTGGTACAAAACCTGTGTATAGAGCAGGCCTTTATTATACTGAAAAACAATGGGCGTTGGCACCTATGTGTCATTGTGCCTGTGAAACTTACTCCCTGTTGTGCCTAAGGCACTTATTTGCTTTTAAAAATTCCACCTCTTAGTTTTATGAAACTTTTTTGTTTTGTAACAAAGCCTAATTTTTGGCCCTAAACTCCGTGACTGTGTCCCTTTTAAACGATGCCAGTCGCTCAGTAACTAAGCAGGTGGTCTAGTTCCACCAACTGGTGCCATAAGGCCATTTGATTTTGACGCCCATTAGCTTTCACAACGGTTAGGGGGAGAACCTTGCACCGAGATTAATGCTACATCCCTGTACCTCTACCTTTGCAAGACAATTTGTTCCAAAGGCATCCCACGACATGCTTAGTCATACTCAATCTGACAGCAGCAGACCTAATGATTAAAGGCAATTAACACTTTATGAAACAGACTGGTCATTGATTCTGTTAACAAATGCTTCAAGATGGGATAGTCGATGTTCTCAAATGGAGATGATGGCTTATAAGAGATCCAAGACATTGAGTCTGGGAAGTGATTGGGGAAAATGGAAGGTCATGACTGATTTCTTCACTGTGCGAGGGTGCTTCACTGGAGCTCTTAAGAAGTCACAATGCCTGGTCCAATGGCCACTACTAGGTGACACGGTACAATCACGTGGGCTAAATTCAGCAGTGGATCTAAGTTTAGAAGGACTTTTGGTGTACTTTATACCTCCTTCTGAACCCCCACCCTGTCACCGTGCAGACCGTTAGACTCTCTCCGGGTATGTCTACACTGCCATCAGAGAACTTGAATGCAGCACGTGTAGCGAGACCTGAACTCGCTTTAATGTAGCTAGCGTGAGTGCCAAGGGCAGGGAAGCCGCAGCAGCATGTGGGCTGTACAAAACTGCCCAGAATCCTGGGTAGTTACTTGGGCAGCTGCTAGTGTGTGTGGTCACAGCTTCACTGCTGTTGGTACCCGAGCTAGCCAGAATCAAGCTAGCTTGTGTATAGCTGCATGTGCTGCAGGCACACCTCCCTTGCAGTGCAGACATACCCTCAGATGTTGCCAAGTGGGGCTGAGAAAAATTTAAATGAGATTTCAGAGCCACCTCAGTGATTTAGAAGCACAAATCCTATTGGCTTTCAAGGCAACTTTTCTTCCTGTGTCACTTAGGTGTGTCTGAAAATCCCATACGGGAAGATTAAGTTAGCCTATGGGAGTGTAAATTACACTCCCATACAAATCACCTCTGGCACTGGTTACATGTATAAGCCAAGTTGCAAAATGACATCGAGGTTTGTTATCTGCAGGCCAGGGGATTCTTGCCATAGGAATCACCAATATTGAATACAATGTTCAGCCATTATAAATATTTTAAAATGAGTCTCTATTCCACTGCCAGGAAGTTCAAAGTTCAAGAGACTCCCTGTTGCAGAGTAATGCAGCTTTGGGGGAGGGGAAAGCATTATGTCATATAAATATATGAGTGAGCTTCTTACATGAGTCAGAGCTGTCTGGAAACACGATCTAATAGGCCACATTCACAGAGAGGGCTTTCATTTCCCTTCAATGTGTCCTGTGTGTGTTGGGAATGCAAGGACCATAAATACTGTAGCCTTCTCTTAAAAGCAAGGGGAATTGTCACCAGACCTCAAGAGCACCTTTTCAAAGTGCTAGGTATGGGGAGTGGGGTTTTCAGATGCTTGGTTCCAATTCATCTGAATGGATGTGGTATGGCCAAAACCAGAAAGCCACATCTTGAAAACATCCACTGATGGTCTGGATGAAACATATTGGGACTTTTTATTGTTTTCATGTAGGGTTCTGATCTGAGGCCCACTGAAATCAATAGGAACCTTTCCACTGACTGCAGTGGCTTTTGGATCAGGCTTTAAACACTTGACTGGGGCCAGCTCTTCACCCCCAAGCTGAAAGAAGCTCTGGGTAACAGAATCAAGGTGCTCAGACAGCTTCAGCCTTTGGTGAACTTCAAAATGCATCGGTCCCTCAACCCTCCAAGGAACGAGCCACTGCCTTGCTGTTAAGCTTAAACCACTGTGACACCTAAGGAGGTGATATGATTGCTCAACAACAGCTGAGTTTTGGAACTGGAGGTGTAAAATGGCATGCTCACATGGGAAGCGGGAATATATGGAGAGGGCTGTTCAACGAGCAATGCCAGCAGGACAGCTGTAACCAAACCAGTGGCCTGAATGAAACAAATCAATTGCTTTTTGTAGATTCCATTTTCAGGTTAAGCGATGATAGCAAAACAAGTAAAGAAGGGCCAGTTTGATGGTTCTCCCATCACCCCCACTAGCTGAGCATGATCCCTCAGAAACTATAGCGCTGGTCAAAACATTTCACATTCTGAAATTTCATTGAAATATTCCAGTAAAATGTCAAATTTCAGGGGAAAGGAAACACACATTGTCATTGATTTTTGCTAAAAAAACATTTGCCAACCTGCTCTGATTTTGGCATCCGGGGCTAGAAAATGGAAGTCCAGAGGAGGTTGATCGGGCAATATAACAAGGGGGAAAAGTTAACAGCTTTACTGCTGCCCCAAAAGAAATCTTCTGGTTTGAGTTTTGGATGAAAGTTCGAGGTGGTGATGAAAATTCTTGCACTGTCCAAATTCATCTGCACGTTCTGTTTTACTCAGCTGAGAAAGTCTGGCTTTTGTAGCAGCCCCTTTAGCTGTTGTGACCACAGCTGACTAGGATCTTAACAACAGGCGAGCACTGTAGCCACCCATGACTCCGCCCTTAGACAGACCTCCGCGAGGATTAAGACACAAAGGGAAGCACTGTGCGCTCGAGCGAGCGCTGTGGCTTTGCATTGTTCTGGGTTGCATTTGACTGATCTGATCGCTACTTTTGTTCTTTGTTTGGTTAAGATGATTATAAAATGTTTACCCAGTTGTTTTGTGCCACGGGATGCTGCCAAAAAAGGGCTTAAAGCTGGAGCTGGAACATTCTGAAACAAGAACTGAGATAGAGGATGACCACACTGGCTGAAGGTAGCGGGGTCACTGTGATCTCTCGTGCTGGGGGTGGGAGGGTGGACTGCAGAGCGAATGACTTAACAGTTTTCTAGCGCCCTAGTGTTAGCTTCCCGGCTAGCTGTTACTGGACTCTGGGTAAGGAAACCTGAGCTCAGATAAGGCTTTATGGGTGCAACAGATGGGAGAAAGTCTTGGGGCTAAGGCCTTCAGAAAGTCCTGCCAACATTAACTAAGTGATTTTAATTAGCTGGGGAAGTGGGTCCTGTTTGTGAATCCACCCGGGTTTGGTTCTGCAGAGGTGAGGGGGAAAGTCCTCTGAGCCCTGCAGCCTCAGCAATGTTCAGGATCATTTCTTAAGCTGGTTAAGAGAAAAGCTGGAAAGTGGGCTCTGAAGTGGATTCAGGAGAGCCAGGAGTGGGTGGAAGGCCCAGCTCTAACCTCTTTCTCTTTACACGAATGTGATGTTGGTGACAGCCCTGGACCCTGACCTGTTTTCTTTACCTTCGGAACAGATAGGCAGGAACTGGAGGGACCATCTGTAGAGCTAGAGGCTAATTTCACACACGTCATCTTGACCTCTCTGATGATCAACTCATTATCCTCTTGAACTCTCTCCTCTGCTGTGATGCCTAAAAAAAATCTTGACAATGGTTATGTAGACAGTATGCTGGAACCACTGCTTTTCACGCTGACCAGTATTGTCTCATTGTTACCTAGTGCTCCCCCGGCTGTCTCCAGCTTGTCTTAGATGGTAAGCTCCTCATGGCAGGGACTGTCTTTTGGTTCTGTTCAATGGAGTCCTGATCCACTAAGTCCCTAAGCACTACTGTAATACACCTAATAAACAGTAATAATCATGCACAGAGCCTAGCACAATGGGGTCCTGGTCCGTGACTGGGGTTTCCCGGTGCTAATACAAATAATAATTTAATGAGACTGCTGACAAAAGGGCCAAATCGTGTGATCTGGGCACCTGCATAATTAATGGATAGTTACCACCAACTCACTTTATAGAAGCCACAAAACAGCTGTCAAGAATCAGGGCAAAGAATCGAGATCTCCAAGTATTGTAATAGGAAGGATTATTTTGCTAACATTGAAAAAACCCTACAAACCCAATGTGCTCTTTTCCTCATTTCTCCCCCCATGTTCCCCAGAAGAGCGCTGCCATTTTGTTCTCAGCAGGGCAGCCATTAGGTTCTCACCACACTCTTGTGAACTAGGGATTCCCTTCCCTCACTCAGTTTTTTATTTTTTTCCCAAATGAACCTTTGCTCCAACATGTTGTCATCTGAGATTCTTCTGAAGCCAAGAGAGCCTTGTCCAACATACTCCTGAACATGGCTTAACAGGATACCTCACACACCACCTCTCCCGCAACTCTGGCTCTTACTCTGTTATTCCCTATTCAAGAATATACAGGACATGGAATCCCCCTACAGGCCACAATGACTCCCCTCTTAGTGTGAAACCCCATGAAGGCCACAGCCTCAAACTCTACAGATGACATCCAATGGGAGGCATGTTGGCTTGGTGAAGTTTCTGAATGGGAATCTTGAAAGAGGTGGGTGAGCTCGGAAATAGCGACCTGGAGAGAGTACAAGTGATGGGGGAAGCTGCTTGAGAGCTGGAAAACGGCCTTTTGACTACACTGAGATTTTCATGTCAAAAGATCAGTTTTTGTCAAAACCTATTTCCTTCCCTCCCCTGCTTTCTATAACCAAAACCCAATTAGTTCAATTTTGTATACAAAAAACCCTCCCGTTTTTCACCAGTTGCTGAAAAAATGCTTGGTTTTTGGTGGCAGAATTTTTCCCCACTTTTTGGACCAACCCCCCCCAAAATTTCAAAGAAAAATTGATAAAGTGAAAAAAAAATGATAAAAAATTTTCACAGGAAAAAGTATGTCCTGACCAGCTCTGGAATCTTCAAAAGTGATTTAGGTATTTAGGACCCTAAGTCCTATTTTCAAAAGTGACTAATGGATACATTTTTAAAGGCATTTGGGCACCTCCCCTGGGAGTCAGGCACCTAAATAGATTTAAAAATCCAGCCCTTAGTCACCAAGGCCCAGATTTGTAAAGGTATTTAGGTGTTGCTGTGCTCATTGTTGCAATATCTAACTGATTTAGGAGCCTAGATCCCATTTTCAAAAGTGATTTAGGCATTTAGGACCCTCAATCTTAATGATGAAATTTAGGTGCCTAAATCAGTTAGACATTGCAAGGCTGAGCACAGCAACGCCTAAATACCTTTTAAAATCTGGGCCTTAGAAGCCTAAATCCTATTGATTTTCAATGAGAGTTAGGCTCTTCTAAGTGCCTATGTCGCTTTTGAAAAATGGATCTTAGGTTCCTAAGTCACTTAGGCAAATCTGAAAATGTTGTTCCTGGACTTTTATATAGACAGTGTCAAATCCTGAAACCACTGACATAAAGGGCCAGAGCCCTCTTGACTTCAATAGCACCAAGCTTTGGCCCACAGCCACCTTGCCTCGACCGTGGAAGCAGACACCAACCCGCTGCTAATAGAGGAAAGAAAACAAACCAAGCAGTGACATCTTGTCAAAAAGAACGAACGGAATGGAGAGCATTTTCAGCACACCTCTTACATTTCCTCTCTACTGATATGTAAAAAAAATATATATATTATATTATATTTTTTCTTTTCTTAAATTATTCTTTTTTTCAGCCTCAGTCCCAGCCGAAGTCATGCCCAGTCATCTGGTAGAACTTCATGTTGAAAGGCCTGTAGAACTCTCGCAGTCTCTGCACCACCTCTCTGTCTATATTGGGGTGGGTCCTGCCTTTCGTTTTCCCCAGGCAGTGGGGTTTGCTGCTGCCTTCAGCTTTCTTCAGGCAGGGGAAGCCCTTGGTTTTGTTGAAGTAGAAGTGTTTGTCTGTGATGATCCTCTTAAGGCCCAGAAAGTCCTGGACCCTGCCCAGCTCCCCGGCGGGGTCGCTGATCAGCCTCTCCCCGCTGACGAAGAGGATCTGCCCAATGGGGAAGTAGAGGAGCCAGTTCTCCAGGTGCTTGGCGTAGATGCCGATCTGGATGGCGCTCCACGAGGTGTCGATCAGGCCTGTAGTCCTGTTTTTGAAGGTCAGGCTCTCAAAGGTGGGAATATCGGGCTTCTTTGAGAGAGTCTGTGTGTAATCGGAGATGGCTCGGGTCACGGGATCCCGCACCACCACGATGAGCTTGGTGCCCTTTGACATGGCGGAGATTCGAGCAGGTGCTTCCTTGGTGACAAAGTAGCTGGGAGTTTTCTCCATGGTGATCTGCCCATCGAGGGTTCTGGGCATCAGCTCCCTAACCGGAACAGAGAGGGAAAACACATTAATGCAGAACATCATTGGAGTGAGGCATGTGAGTCCAGGACACAACATGGCCCAGAGGACAATGACCTGGGAGTGAGCATCAGGATGCAAGGACGCTATGTCCTGGTGACCAAGGGGTTAACTCCATCTCCTCCTGCACAGGTGGTGAAGGGGAAGAGCTATGATGCCCTGATTCAGCAAGGTACTTAAAGCCCAGGCCAAATTTCAAGCCCATGAGTGGCCCCATTAACTGCACTGGGCCTGAGCGTTTTTTCAGGTGAGGCACGTCCTGAGAACTTTGCTGAATCGTGGCCTATTGGAGGCTCTTTGGGAAACAGAAGGGAAAGCTGAGCTCCACACCAAGGGTCATGGGACAGGACTGAAACCCAAGTAAGGGATTTTCCCATTTCCTTTCTATTGCTTAGGGTGACTTGATTTGTTGCTGTGATCTTACTGACTGTAGCTGCATGTTCTTCCACCTGCATGTTCCTCCTTATTCCTTAATTGGACATATCCATTAACAAACAGTTCCACCCTCGAATGGTACCTCTGAGTTGCGTCAGTAACAGAAATGCGGTGGGCACATGGATTGCCCCTCTCCAGCCAGACACATTGGAGTGTCCCAATGGCTCAGAGAAGGGCAATACTATAGAAAGCATGACGCTACTCAGAGAGCTAGGGTGGAGAGACTGCCAACATGAAAACATAATAGACAAGAACGCAACATCATACTAATGAAGTTAATGCAACAGGAAAGGTGGCAACACTTGATGATCCATTTCCACTGGAGTCACCAGAAATACCTCCATGTACTTTGGTGAGAGCTAGATCAGGCTCTTGGGGCTTGTCTACCTGGGGAAATAGCCTGGAATAGCTATTCCGTACTAGCTCCCCATGTGGACACTCTTAGCTTAATCTGTTTTGGAACTGGATTAAGCTAATCCACACGAATGCTCTCAGTGCAGAAAGCAGACTGAAAACTGATCAACAGCACTGACGTGAAGAGTGGATCAATAAGGATGTCAGTTATGATACTGCCCATTTATGTTCAATGGGACTAAATTCTAAAGAAACAAGATCCAGGAGTTACTGGGATTCTGGCTTCTCTGAGAACACTATAGTGTCCCAGTGCCTCCAGGATCACTTGCAATAACTTCTTATAACATTGTACAAACACCACCTATCAAGGCAATTACTGTACAGAGCAGTTTCATACTCTCTAGTTATGTAGAGAGTATGTCTTCACTGCAAAAAAAGATGTTCTTAACTCAGATTAACATAGCAGTGTGACACGGCACCTCAGCTTTTAACTCAGGTTAGCAGCTCAAGTTAAAGTCTGTAGGGGAGCCTGGGTTGAAATTGAGTTGCTAACCTGAGTTGCCTTTTCTTTTAACCTGAGTTAGCTAACCCGAGTGAAGAACACACTGTTCACGTGCAGTGAACACATACCCTTAGGGAGATGTGGCAACGCATTTGATGGGCCTATCTCAGAATAACTGATTTTCACACGGGTATCAGCATGTACAGTAGAGGACGGAGCTGGGTCTGAGTCAGGAGGAGATGGTATGAAAACATAACAGGGAACTTCCAGAAAAAAATCAAACCTTTGCTTGCAACTGCACAGTAAGAATCAATTTAATCTATAAATTACCAGTGTCCTGTCCCTTTAAATTCCTCCTTGCCCACATTGGGATTTCCTGCCTCCTGGCTTGAATTCTGTTGAATAACATTGAGTTCCTGTAAGAAAGACACTCCCTTCCTGTAGGGTATGAGGAATTTTAAAGGGCCAGGACTGTCAGTGACTATCTTTTGGGGTTGTCCAGGAGACAGCACAATGGTTCAACCTAAAAATGTGCAGTATTAGCCCCCTGCCCTCAATGCGTTCCTCCTTCCCCTCCGCCCCAAGGAATTCTACACTCCACATTTCCTTCCTGTCCATTCACGAAACTCCCATTGCCTGTGGTGTGAAGTGGTGTGGAAAAGCAAAGGCGACCTTTGCCTCTAAGAATTCAATGCAATGCACAAAAGGCCAGGGAATTCAGAGTTAAGGTTACCCACCCTTTAGGTGCAACGTACCTTGCTGGGCCTAAACTCTGCGAGGTCTAAAAACAAATTACATATGCTGGGCTTCTTATGCAGGCCAAGCTTCCATTGATGCTACTGTGCGTTTTGCCTGAGAAAAGACTGCAAGAGCTGGTCCTATATTCGCTGCACTGCTTAGTCAAAGAGGAATGAACTCACGGTGCCAGCCGGAACTATGAGCTTCTTTGCGTGAATCTGGTTAAGACAGACACATGCAAGTTGAGGCAGAGCCAGGGTGGGGCCTTGGGGAAAGGGGCGGAATGGGGGAAGGGGCTTCGGGGCCGAGCTGGGGTGGAACACCCTCGGGGAAAGCTGAAAA